AGGAGAATAAATAAGTCACACTAAAAATGTTTTTAAAATTTCCCGGAAAATGTCAAAAAAAATAGAAACTTTCAACAATTTTTTTCGCAAAAAACCTCATAAGAGTGTTTCCGGGACGAAATATACTACCAGTTAAAATGTCTGCACCTATTTCTGAGACACCCTGTATAAAATAGATGTTATAGTATAGAAATATCTTTAAAAATCGGTCCAACATTTTGATAGACGAATAGATATTAAGTGGGTATATAATGTGTTATATGTTATATCTTTTACAATTATTTTTCATATTTAGACGTTACAACAGCAAACAACTTTGGTATTTGATGGATATAGGGCTCGATATAGGGTATATTTGTTACAGGAATACTTTTTTATAGCTTTATAGGAAAAGTTTTTATAACTTTTACAGTTATTTTTCGATTTATACAGAGTTGTTCACCACATACGACACGGAGTATTGTAGCTAAACGATGAGATTTTTACAAATTGTAAGTTTTGGGTTCGTTGAAGGACCATTAGAGCTACAATTTAAAAATATTTTTACAAGATACAGAGTGTCCCAAATAAATGAAAAATATCAAAGTTGTATTTTTTTAAATAGAACATCCTGTATATTATTACATTTTTAGTTTCTACGATTAAAATAAAGGTAAATTTGATTAAGGTTTATTACACTTAAACCTTACCGTTTTTGAAATATTTTCAATTTTATGAAATTGCAGTAAAAATTTTAAGGCTTCATTTCTCCAAGGGTATCAAAGTTTTTAATACTAAATATTTACTGAAGTTTATTTATTGATCAGTTACCTATTGTGTTACAATAATAAAAATAATACTATCTTATACAGAGCGTCTAAAAAATTATTTTAAATAATTATTAGCTTTAAACGGCAATAACTTGTTTAATTTAAATGGAACACCCTGTATATTTTATGAGAATCAGATGCAGAATTTGATTGTCTATCAAATTGTATTATAACATTTTTTACCTATCTCTTTAAGTTTCCGTAGAAAATGCATTTTCTTATAATTTAGAACTTATTTATCAATATACCCATGGAATACTGACATTTTCGATTATATTTTTAAAGATGTACAAAATTTTTAAAGAGTACAGATACTAATGTTGCCGATATGATTCGTTTATTTTACTAAAAAATAAAAAAAAACTGTTTTAACATTTGTTCAAGAGGACCAATTAATATGATTCCAGTAGTCAAACTACATTAACTGACTGTTTGCGTTGATTAATAATAATTGCCCAAATACTAAAAAACTGAGTTTTGTATGTGTATTAGACAGTGTGGTAAAAGTAACACCTTAAAAATGATATTTCATTTTTTAATAAATGCTTATTTATAACAACAGATACGGTTATTTTCATAACTTATTATTATATTGATTTCTGATTCAAATCCACATTTATTTACAATAATTTTTTAACGAACACAATTAAGTATGCAATTAATTAGTATTTGAGCGGAAATGATGGTGTTATATTTAATTTTTGGTATACTCTTTTATAAAGATTTAAATAGTTTTCTTTTTGTATACAAATGGGCTAGTAATATTATCGTTTTGCTAAAAACTGTTTATCGTTTTGCTAAAAACAGCTAGTAATATTATCGTTTTGCTAAAAACGATAATATTACTAGCCTGTACATTTTGTACATTTGTTGCTTTAAAAACAATCTAAAATGTCAATATTCCATGGGTATGTTGATAAATGAGGTCTAAATTTTAAGAAAATGCATTTTCTACGAAAACTTGAAGGGATACAAGTATGTAGGGTATACAAGGGTAAAAAATGGTATAATAAAATTTGATAGACAATTAAATTTTGCATGTGACTCTCTATAAATAAAATATACAGGGCGTTCCGTTTAAATTAAATAAGTTATTGGCGTTTAAATTTAGAAATAATTTAAAATAATTTTTTACACTCTGTATGAGGTAGTATTATTTTTATTATTGCAACACAATAACTAAACGTCAGTAAATATTTACTATTAAATACTCTTATACCCTTCGGGAAATGAAGCCTTAAAATTTTTACTGCAATTTCAAAAAATTGAAAATATTTCAAAAACGGTATGGTTTAAGTGTGATAAACCTTAATCAAATTTACCTTTATTTTAATCGTAGAAAGTAAAAATGTAATAATATACAGGGTGTTCCATTTAAAAAAATACAACTTTGATATTTATATCTATTATATTTTTATTTGGGGCACTCTGTATCTTTTAAAAATATTTTTAAATTGTAGCTCTAATAGTCCTTCAACGAACCCAAAACTTACAATTTATGAAAATCTAATCGTTATAGCTACAATACTCCGTGTCGTATGTGGTGAACAACCCTGTATATTTTTAAACAAGTCGATTTTTAATTTAAATACATGATTAAAATAAAACAAATCGTTGATTTAAATCATTGCACCCTAATAGTAATAAAAAATACGTTCATTTTTAAGTCCTTATTAACAAAGTTATAAAATTCAAATACATATTGTGTCAAAATAATTGTTTGTTTTATTGCTTAAATTTAAATATTTTAAAAATCATCAAAACAAATCAAATCTGTTAAAGATATTCAGCGTGAAATTATAGTGATCTAATCAATTGTAATAAAAACAATTAATTTAAACTTAATTAAATATTTTAATATTATGCATGTAATTAAAATTTAGCTAAACCATTATACTAATTTAAAAACTACAACCACAACTATTATTGAAACAAACTCGTGTCGTGGAAAATTATTTAAATTATTTCGAACAACAAGCGTGATCAACGATGAATCATTATACTATAAGATCACTGCGGAAATTAGCATTTTTTGTTGATTCATTAATTTTACTTGCATTACTGCTGGTTCTTATTCATATAGGTACGTTGTTTTGAGTTAAGTGCATTTTTTTCTTTCAAATTCTTCAAATGCATCAAAATTCTAAGACACCTACCTATGTTTTTTCTTCACTTGTGTTTATTTGTGGTCATGTTTGTCTTCATGTTTTTTTAAGTTTCTCATTACTTTTTACTTAATAATTTGATATCATTTTCATTAAAAACTTTTATCGAATTTTTCTTTTGCCCAACCATCTCTTGCCCAAACTGCACCATCATTAAATAAAAATTAGCTAGTACCGAATGTCCCGAGAAAACCGGAAAATCCCGATCCCTTGGAGGCGCGGTACGAAAATTCCCGGTTCCGCTTGCGAAGACCCTAGTGAAGCCCGCGTCGGGCGTCTACACCAGAATTTCTAAGTTATTTATTATAGGAACTACGCCGTATTCTCGCCAAACACTGTATGCCAAAAAAAAAATACTTGCCAAGTAGACGAGTGTGAAAATGCGCCTTTAAGCATAACCAAACTAAGTAAGTAAAAATCTATGGTATATTTCCGTAACAAGAGATATACTGCATAATGAGTAAAATTTAAAGAGTAGTAAGCAAAAAGCTCGACCGAGAAAAGTCAAAGGTTTTCCTTGATTTAAGTAAAAACAATCTTCGGATTGTCACGGGGTTTCTAACAGGACACTGTCTCCTCAACGAACACCTCAGTAGGCTGAAGCTGAGAAACAACCGCGAATGCAGATTCTGTTGGGAAAATGGGGAAACACCAGAACACCTTATCACTGAGTGCGCCGAGACGACGACTATACGTGCCATGAACTTTGGCACAGCTGATGTCGAGGATGGAGAGCTGACCTCTGTGGAGCCGTCTCAGATACTGGCTTTTGTTAAAGCCCTGAGACTGTATGATGAGTTATAACTCGTTATAACTCAAGAAAGGAGAACACACAATAGATCTGTAAGGTCGCGGTGATTAACTCCCCTCCTAAACATTCTACATTCTACAAGTAAAAAGCTCTACTTCATTAACTTTTAATTAAATTTTATATACCGGGTGTGTCTCAAAAATGCACTCCTATAATTTTTTTATTTTTTCAGATAAAAAACGAGATTTCGCATGTTACTATATGACATAAATATTGATTGACGTATTCAATTGTTTTCAGTCACTTTCTGTTTCACAGGAAATTTTTGAATTTATTTTGATTTTTAAATGGCACCCTCGGTATTTTTTACATTATTCGATAGAAAATGACACTCTGAATAGAATGACATATCATATGTCAACTTTTGACGTTCTCGCATAAAAAAATCGTATTATAATGTACATCTAGAGTGCCATGGTTGTGTTAAAAACAGTAATTTTTTATCAAGGAACCTTGGAAAAATAGGTTTGGCCGTCTAATGTTTTTCGTGTCTTGTTCTGGCAAGATGTCCATATCGCATTTTCAATCATATCTCATTTTTTTTCAAATAGAAACGAAGGTGGCTCATTAGCAAATTTGGAAAAAACATTTTTTGGTACTTTGGTACCACACATTTAGTATTTCGAGTCAAAATGTCGTTATGAACCCCATGTTACAATTTCAAATAAACCATATGCCAAAATGTCAAAAGTTGACATGTAATACGTCATTCTATTCAAAGTGTCATTTTCTATCGAATAATGTAAAAAAATACCGTGGGTGTATTTAAAACCCAAAAGTTGTAGTAATTTTCGATGAAATAAGAAGTGATCGAAAACAATTGAACAGAATAATCAATTCTAATTCATGGCATATACTAACATACCAAATCTCGTTTTTTATCTGAAAAAATAAAAGAGTTATAGGGGGTGAACCACTTTTGAGACGCACCCGGTATAATTTTATCACTATATTCTAGATACATTTGAATGTTACAGTTGGTGGTTGGAACCTTGGTCTTACAACAGCAAAATAAAACACTAATTCACCACACTACACCAAAACACTTTACTTCTAAACACTGGACGCGCGTTTCGCTAACCATGTTAGCATCATCAGCAGAAGATTAAAATTGAGTTTTAATCATTAATATCAAAAGTGTTTTGGTGTATTGTGGTGAATTAGTTATTATTTGTTTGAATACTTAAACATTATTACAATTATATTATTACTTACCACTCTACAAAATCAAAAATATCCACCAAAAAAAACAATATCCTAAACCATCCAAATTCATACAAACGGTTCTTATGTATTTCACCAAAGATCACTAAAACACCATACAAAAATATATAAACTATACGAAAATAAAAGATGAAGAACAAAACGGTGAATCACAACAACAAATATTCGAGACGCTTGCGAGCGGCGGGAAACGACATCAACGAGAGACCAAGAGACGCAGTAAAACCACGTTCCGCGTTGCCGGCACCGAAGCTTTCTGCTGGTTGATTAAACTCCTGCTGGCGCTGCTAGTGGCTCCGTTCCGCCGGATGGTCGCGGCAGGGATTGCTTCGCGTCGCGGATTCGGATCCACCACCTGACTTGACACCGTGAACGTGCTTTGGCCAACGAGATCGGGGATGTAGAGATTGTGGGGTCGAGTAAAACATGTTCTGTAAAGCAGGAGTTTTTATCTGTACCATTAGTCCCCCATATACCAGAAGATCTGGCATGTGGATTTGGTCTGTGGTTGTTCTATAAATTGGTCTAAAATTCTCGTATTTTGGACCTAATATGGTCCGCCGACTTAGCCTGAGACAAAGAGACCTGGTTCAAATTAAAAAAGTTGAATATATGTCGAATTCATAAATATTTGTCAATAATACTGAGTTGTACTCCTGCATGATGTTACACACCGAACTAAAAAGTTCTAAGAAAAGTCGTAATATATCTACAAATTCATTTACCCACTAGTAGATATAAAAAGCATTTTTGGTAAACTCTGTCTCAAATAGTTTCTGAAAAATAAAATTAATTTTCTTAAAAAGATCCGATTAAATTTAAATCTCCGAAACTAAAGTTCCAAGAAAAGTCGTGATATATCTACAAATTCATTTACCCACTAGTAGATATAAAAAGCATTTTTGGTAAACTCTGTCTCAAATAGTTTCTGAAAAATAAAATTAATTTTCTTAAAAAGGTCCGATTAAATTTAAATCTCCGAAACTAAAGTTCCAAGAAATGTCGTAATATATCTACAAATTCATTTACCCACTAGTAGATATAAAAAGCATTTTTTGTAAACTCTGTCTCAAATAGTTTCTGAAAAATAAAATTAATTTTCTTAAAAAGGTCCGATTAAATTTAAATCTCCGAAACTAAAGTTCCAAGAAAAGTCGTAATATATCTACAAATTCATTTACCCACTAGTAGATATAAAAAGCATTTTTGGTAAACTGTCTCAAATAGTTTCTGAAAATAAAATTAATTTTCTTAAAAAGGTCCGATTAAATTTAAATCTCCGAAACTAAAGTTCCCAGAAAAGTCGTAATATATCTACAAATTCATTTACCCACTAGTAGATATAAAAAGCATTTTTGGTAAACTCTGTCTCAAATAGTTTCTGAAAAATAAAATTAATTTTCTTAAAAAGGTCCGATTAAATTTATATCTCCGAAACTAAAGTTCCAAGAAAATTCGTAATATATCTACAAATTCATTTACCCACTAGTAGATATAAAAAGCATTTTTGGTAAACTCTGTCTCAAATAGTTTCTGAAAAATAAAATTAATTTTCTTAAAAAGGTCCGATTAAATTTATATCTCCGAAACTAAAGTTCCAAGAAAATTCGTAATATATCTAGAAATTCATTTACCCACTAGTAGATATAAAAAGCATTTTTGGTAAACTCTGTCTCAAATAGTTTCTGAAAAATAAAATTAATTTTCTTAAAAAGGTCCGATTAAATTTATATCTCCGAAACTAAAGTTCCAAGAAAATTCGTAATATATCTACAAATTCATTTACCCACTAGTAGATATAAAAAGCATTTTTGGTAAACTCTGTCTCAAATAGTTTCTGAAAAATAAAATTAATTTTCTTAAAAAGGTCCGATTAAATTTATATCTCCGAAACTAAAGTTCCAAGAAAATTCGTAATATATCTAGAAATTCATTTACCCACTAGTAGATATAAAAAGCATTTTTGGTAAACTCTGTCTCAAATAGTTTCTGAAAAATAAAATTAATTTTCTTAAAAAGGTCCGATTAAATTTATATCTCCGAAACTAAAGTTCCAAGAAAATTCGTAATATATCTACAAATTCATTTACCCACTAGTAGATATAAAAAGCATTTTTGGTAAACTCTGTCTCAAATAGTTTCTGAAAAATAAAATTAATTTTCTTAAAAAGGTCCGATTAAATTTATATCTCCGAAACTAAAGTTCCAAGAAAATTCGTAATATATCTAGAAATTCATTTACCCACTAGTAGATATAAAAAGCATTTTTGGTAAACTCTGTCTCAAATAGTTTCTGAAAAATAAAATTAATTTTCTTAAAAAGGTCCGATTAAATTTATATCTCCGAAACTAAAGTTCCAAGAAAATTCGTAATATATCTACAAATTCATTTACCCACTAGTAGATATAAAAAGCATTTTTGGTAAACTCTGTCTCAAATAGTTTCTGAAATATAAAATTAATTTTCTTAAAAAGGTCCGATTAAATTTAAACCTCCGAAACTAAAGTTCCAAGAAAAGTCGTAATATATCTACAAATTCATTTACCCACTAGTAGATATAAAAAGCATTTTTGGTAAACTCTGTCTCAAATAGTTTCTGAAAAATAAAATTAATTTTCTTAAAAAGGTCCGATTAAATTAATATCTCCGAAACTAAAGTTCCAAGAAAATTCGTAATATATCTTCAAATTCATTTACCCACTAGTAGATATAAAAAGCATTTTTGGTAAACTCTGTCTCAAATAGTTTCTGAAAAATAAAATTAATTTTCTTAAAAAGGTCCGATTAAATTTAAATCTCCGAAACTAAAGTTCCAAGAAAAGTCGTAATATATCTACAAATTCATTTACCCACTAGTAGATATAAAAAGCATTTTTGGTAAACTCTGTCTCAAATAGTTTCTGAAAAATAAAATTAATGTTCTTAAAAAGGTCCGATTAAATTTAAATCTCCGAAACTAAAGTTCCAAGAAAAGTCATAATATATCTACAAATTCATTTACCCACTAGTAGATATAAAAAGCATCTTTGGTAAACTCTGTCTCAAATAGTTTCTGAAAAATTACAATTCAGTACAAATTCAATTCTGTACCTAGAGCAAATTTTTAACATTATAAGATTTGTCAATTTTAACACAGGAACTAAAAAGTTTAAAATAGGAAAGCATTTTCTAGTGTTCTGTATGATTATCTACAATTAAACATACAAATGGCGCATGGCGGTGGCTTAACTACATTTATAATACTCGTAGAAGAACTAGACAGAATTAATATGGGTCTAAACACCAACTGGAACTAAATCTCGAGCTTTCTATAATATACTGTGCGCTAGAAGTCAACGACGCTGTCAACCTCAATTATTACATGAATGGATTTAGCATTGTGCAAGAATTATAGGTATAAATAATTTTCGTCCTCTATCGAACTGAATGGATTTATTAAAAAAATATATTATAAATCTAATCTCAAAACCATTATCCGAAAACAGATGGTCAAGCTAAATGAAAATAAAACAAAAATTGGTATTTATATTTATCCAAAATTTATGCTTTATAGGTATGAGATATCAAATGATACCTACATCATTCGAGCAGAAGGAAAATATGACACTAAATGTTTATTATAGTTGGGGATTACAGCCTTTAGTGTTACAACAGCGAAATAAAACACTAATACACCACATTACACCAAAACACTTTACTTTTGCACTGGACGCGTCAAATTTTGATGTCAAAAGAAAAAAATCAGTGGCGCACATGTTTTTTTTGAAAAATATTGCAGTGTTAACCCATATGCGCGTCCCTGATGAATTATGGACACTTTTTTAGCATTAAAAAATGTAGCACTTATAGTAACTTTTACCCTCAAAATTTCATCCGAATCACTAAAAGTACCTACTTGGAAGAAAATTATAGTATATCGAAAGATTACTAACACTACGAAACTAAGCAGAATCGGACCTATGTTGATTTGGATTGAGATGGCACATGTTTTTTAAAACACCCTGTATAACTGATAAGCTAGGAATGTCTCTTTTACTTTTTACTCACAGAATTTTATAACATTTTTCCTTGAGAAATAATAATCTGTATAATATTTGAGACCATATTGCTATATACTGTTAATACAGGTACAAATTTTACCATTAAGACAACGTAATAGTTGGTGGTTGGTATGCAAAAAAGATGAATACGAACGTCTAGCTTTTGACTTGGAATTGATTTACTATCCAAGCTGATACCAAGAGCGCGCTTTATCTAACGAGGTTTTAGTACTAGAGTACAGCAAGAAAAGTACCGAATAATCGAAAAAAAACGGTAGGTTGGCTTGGAAAGGATGATTAGTGACATTGCCGATATACTCGAAATTTTAAATACAGGGTTCGGCAATAGTGCGTCGGGCATCTGTAGCTCCTATAATAAAAAACTTAGGTATTTTGTAAACCTAAAGTGCAAACCTAAAGCATATATTAGGACGTATTTGAGTAATATATTTTAACTCCTACAGGGTGGCCCAAAAAATGTGAGTGGATCAGGATTCTTTTTTTTAAATCGAACACCCTGTATAATATTCGCTTTTTGGTGTCCTTTCTACATAATCCTAAGTAAATATTAATTATTTTTTGATATCAGAAAGTGTGAGTGGATCAGGATTATTTTTAAATTGAACACCCTGTATATTATTTGCCTTTTGGCTTCCGTTCTACATAATCCTAAGATAATAGTAACTATGTTTTGATAGTCTCAAAGACATTAATAAATAAATAAAAAAAATACTTTTTCAGCCTTTTTTAACCCTTTATAGGTTGATGGTCGCTAAATCGACCACTTTAATTTAATTAAATAATCAGTCGCCTGGAAGTGTATTATCGCTCAGTTTGTTTGCTATGCTTTTTCTATGCGCCTTGGCCATTTAAACAACCATATCTATATATTGGCCAAATGAGCCCGAAAAGTTAACGTAAGCGGTTGAATATTCGACCAGTGAGCATTGGTGACACTGATTTTGCTGTGTATCATATAGATAATAATTGCCGTCTAAGCATTTTCTATGCAAATTCCGTGTGATAAAAATTTAAAAATATAGAATCAAAAGCATCTGTGACGTTTATATTTCTTTTTATTTAGTGCACCAAAAAACACGGCTCGGATGCGAATTTCTCGAAAAACAAACTTTGATTTACTTGATATGGGCATATTTTTGAGTATAGTTAGGTTAGGTTAGGTTAGGTTAGGTCCTAGTTTATATATTTTTGAAGTCAATTTGATTAAACTAGAAAATAGTTAGTACGTATAAAGAGTTAAAATAATTATTAAAAATAGAAGA